AGGCATTCCTAACTACAAGAAAGAATATTTTCATGAGAAAAGGAGAAGAATAGACACTGATGTAGGCAGCCATAAATCTCTGCCACAGACCACCATTCAATGCCATTTATGTTTGTTCTCAACCCAGAAGTTCTGTCTTCATTTCCTATCTTGATTTTAAGCATTTTGTCTGTCTATGCTGAGTCCAAATAATTTGTTTTCTCTTTGTTCCTGCTTGTATTAGGGTAAATTTGAAATGACTATAGAAAGACGCTTCTAATTTCAGTGGCTTATATATGATAGAAATGTATTTATGTGACATAAGAAGTCAATGGGTACAGGTTGCCAAGACAGCTCTGCTTTTGGGGTCAGTGAAAAATCCAGGCTCGTCATTATCTCACAGGGTGTTGTGCTCATCTGCCTAATCGAAGCTGATTCGGCACCACATGTGTGCTCCAGTCCACAGGAAGGAGGAAAAAGTATGATCCTAGGGAAGATGGTGTGTCTTGAAGTTAGAGGTGGCCTGAGATTCGCTTATATCACATTTGCTCCCATCCCACTAGTTTGGCCATGTACCCCCATCTAGCTGCCAGAAAGACTGGGAGATCTAGAGTAGCGAGGTGACCGTGTGCCAAAGAAAAGGCAGAGAAAGAATTTTGAAAGGACACCTGCCAGTCCGTCGCCTTCCAGTTCCTCACTATTCAGGTTACAGCTCAAGCGCCATTTCTGCCAAGAAGCTTTTCCTGAATCTTTAACCCCAAACGGCAATGCTTATAACTAACAGTTACCCAGCACTGGATGTGTACTGGGAATCAGACTTTGTGTTCTGGTTCGATACTTCTCAGAATTCTACAGGATTTTGTCTTCATTTCCACAGACGAAAAATGATGGTTCACACAGATTATAAGTGATTAAGCAAAGACTGTATGACTAGGAACCATTGGAATTATGATTTCTACTTCTAAACTCCCACAGGAGTGCATTACCTTTTTTTTTTTAAGATTTAATTTATTTATTCACGAGAGACACACAGAGAGGCAGAGACCCAGGGAGAGGGAGAAGCAGGCCCCCTGTGGGGAGCCCCACGCGGGACTCGATCCTGGGACCCAAAGGCAGACGCTCAACCGCTGAGCCCCCCAGGCATCCCTCATTTCTTTTTTTAATATACCTTTTTGTTGCATCTCACTTCCCTCCCAGATTGGGAACCTTCTGAGGCTGAGGCTGACATTGTACATAGCAAAATATCTGTGCGTAAGAGTCTTCCCTTAAATATTAACTGAACCAAATGAGTTCTCAGCTAAAAATAAAAATAAAAATAAAAATAAAAATAAAAATAAAAATAAAATAAATAAATAAATAAATAAGTAAATAAATAAAATTCTATTAAATAGTTTAGGTCGGGTATTCATGCAAAGTGTATTTTCTTTATATGTAAAATTAGAATGTTGCTCTTTATGTACCGCGTGTTCCACGGGCCTGCACTTATATACTTACAACACATTACATTTATCTTTGAGGAAAGTAGAATGTGTGAAGAAATTGGAATGTGGGAAGCTAAACCATATTTTCTTTTCAAATGCCTGTATTAATCTTTCAAGTGTCTTTTTTGCTGTCTAGGTGTTTTTGTATATCATTATATAATAATTGGTGTGACAACCTCAGTTTATTTGTGATGGGCTAGACATGGTTTAAATAGCTATATTTATTTCCCACTAAGTATTTACTGACATGAGCTATGGGAGACCAATTAAGGTACTCAATATCTACACAGAAAGCTGAAAGACATTCACTTCCCATATTTTCAAGGATTCATTATAGGCTACAAACCATACCAAAAAATAATTGACAAAACTAAAAGTATTTATAAAATCTACCCTAAACATAATATAGAAGTCAAATCCTATCTTATCTCCACCCCAAGACTTTATTTCACTTTGGCAATAAAATGATGTAAATGCTTTCTATAAGCCCACAAGTAGCTCATGAAAGTTCCTGTTACCCTACATCCTTTCAAATTCCTGGCGTTGCCGTTATTTTCGATGTTAGTCATTCCAGTCGAGGTACAGGAACCTCTCACTGTAGTTTAAGTTTTGATTTCCCTACTTATGATGTCAATCATCCATCACATATGTGCTGGCCATGTGGATGTCTTCTTTTGTGAACTGCCTGTTTGAGTTTCTTCTCCATGTTTCCATTGTTTGAGAGTTCTTTATATATTCTGGATACGAGCCCTTTGTTAGTGATATGTGTGGAAAATATGTTCTATCACTTGAAGTTTTGCTTTCTCATTCTCTCATGATTTTTAAATATAAATATATTTATAAGCAGAGGTGCTAATTAAAATATTTAAATGTCAATATAGTATGGGAATTGCTAAATCTGAATCATGTGTACCTGTTGAATAGGCCATGTCCAAGGGTCTTTAAAAATTACAGCCTCAGGGTAGGCAAAAGGGTGGGCAAAATTATACAAGAAGTCATGGGAAATGTCAATCCATAAAGGACTTGCTGCATTTGCTGTCACATCGTATTACCACATGTTAGCATCAGTTGAATTTGAGGAATGTCTGATGAATTTAATGAAGAAAGAATGCTACAGTGTTGTATACATGTTCCCACTTATTTAAAGGTAAGCATTTATAGGCCAGCTTATGTTTGTGAGCACTTGGGAGAGCACACAAGGATGCACACTAAACCATTAATCGTGGCTATTTCTGGCGGGTAGAACTGGAGGCAGTCTGTTGGGAGGCAGTCTGTTGACGTTTCCTTATGCATCCCCTACATGCTCGGTTTGTTATAAACAGCACTGTAATGTTAATAGTTTAAAAAATACAATTTCTAATGAAATTTATTAAAGTAAATGGATAAAGGGGCGCCTTGTAATTCCCATAGTCCTTTGAACAGATGCGAAGATCAAAACTATTTGGGACTCTTCATGAGGATCCAAGGTACATCATCCCGGATGACGGTTGAGAAAGTTTTCCGTCAACCTTCCCCTTATCTATCTAAGCAGGTACCTCCCAGAGCAAGCGTGGGACAGAGAATGAAATCAAGAATGAAGTTACTCATTTCAGAATGTCCAGTTCCAGCAGTGTTTGTGAGTGCTGACACCTCAACACTCCCTCTATTCTACTACAAGCTCCATGAGGGCAGAGCTTTCTATTTCATCCAAATATCCCCACTTCCAGGCCTATTAGGAGATGATCAATAAATGGTTACTGAATGGTGACTAAATGCCCATTCTGGGATGGCAGTTAAAGAGTTGGTTATTTCATGATTGTTCTTTACTGGGTTCTAGTTTACAGGGCACTGTGCCACTGCCTCTGCTTATTCTGTGATCCGGAGGCACCGTCATTACTTTAATGTACATCTGTCTCAATAGGACTGTGACTTATACAGGGGCAAAAGTCTGATTTTTGTTCATGTATTTTTTCCTTGTTTCTCACATAAATTCTGAATGTATAGTAAGTTGTTAAAAAAATGTGTTTTATTCCTCCAGACCACTCCTACCAATAGCATGAGACCAACTAAATTGATCACACAAATAAACAACTTATTGCTTCCACTACCCATTCACTATCCCTCTGATGTCGCTTTTGATTCCACATCCCTCTTAAATCCTGTAGAATATTATTATAATCACTCTGCTCATTCTCTTGCATACACCCTCAACTTACTTTTCTCACTTCTCTTTGAAGTGCTTGTCTACTCTCTCTGCACTTTCCCCAGGAGTTCCTTCCCATTTGTAAGGCTTTAAATACAACATGTGTATCTAATGACTCAAAAATGAATCCAAAATTGATGCATCTAGCCTGAACTTTCCCCCCTGAAATTCAAACTCATATATCTGACTGCCTATCCTATGTCTCCACTGGGATGGCTATGGCTGTCTCAAACATAATATGTCCAATAGTGACCTCATTCTCTACCCTTATCCCAAATCTGCTTCTCTTAACAATCTTCCCCATCTCAGAAAATCCCAATTCCATCCTTCCAGTTACTCAGTTAAATCATGACTCCTTTTTTTTTCCTTTCCTCTCATGCCTAATTTCTAACTTTTTGGGCAGTCTTGTTGGAGCTAACATCAAAATATACCCATTATCCAAACTCTTCTTTTTACTGACGTTGCTATCATCTTGATCTAAGCCACTGTTAGACTCACCTAAGTGTACATGTGTCTCCTGCCTTGCTACCTCCCACCTTTCCACACTCCAACTCTCAATAGACATTAGAATGATCCTATTAAAACTTAAATTTAAATCATGCCACTCCTTTTATCAAAACCCTGCAATAATTTCCCATCTTGTCCAGAGTTAATCTGGCTACTTGTCACCTCTCTGGCCTTCCCACATACACCTTTCCTCCTTTGTTTATTTTACTGCAGCCATAGTTGGACTGATTTCACTAGCATGGAGGGAACAAAACTTTAGGTAAATTGAACCAACACTGATATATGTGAGGAGATAAATCAGCCTGCAACATAATGGAGCTGTGCTGGTTTTTACCTTTGAAGAAGGCATATACCAACAAGACTTCTGGCAACCATTTCAGAAACCTTTTTTTCAGAGACTACAAAATTCTTTGACATCATGAGAACTATGTTTCTCAATTCAAGAGTATAATTAGATCAATCTAGGAAGCCTATATATGTATTCTTATATAAATACATACATATATAAGAATAATTTTACTGATTACTCTGTGTGTATATGAAACATTTTTATTAAGGTAAAGTACTTTTTAAAAAGAAAAGAGGGTAGCCTGGGTGGCTCAGTGGTTTAGCACCTGCCTTCAGCCAGGGGCGTGATCCTGGAGATCCAGGATCGGGTCCCACATCGGGCTCCCTGCACGGAACCTGCTTCTCCTTCTGCCTGTGTCTCTCCCTCTCTCTCTGTGTGTGTCTTGTGAATAAATAAATAAATAATTTAAAAAAATAAAAAGAAAACAGTTGCACTTAGTCACTGGAAGTTAATTAAAATTTGGGAACTGTTAACTATAATTGTTGATTTGTTTTTGGTTTAGTCCATCATTTTCAATCACAAAAGAATTCATCGTGAGATTCAACCAAACTGAAAATCCAAAAGAGAAAGAAGAATTGTTGGACCTAGCTAGAAAAAACATTCTCAGGTGTAAGGTAAATAATACACTATTTGATTATTCAGTATATGGACTTTCTAGTCTAGTCAGGTGGGTGGTTACATGTTCTAAAATATCAAAAATAAAAAGAAATACCCTTTTTAGATTATTAAGTATCATTAAATATATTAATGCAAAGTAAAAAGTAAAGTTAAAGGTTATAAGCAAATAATTCAACATCAAATGGCTTTTTTGGTGAAGATTCTCCATAAATTATTGAGGGATACAGCTGTTGACACTAGTCCAAGAATTCACCATAAAATGTGAAAGGCTGGCAAATAAACTTGTGATTATGATAACTCCACTTTTTCCTAAAAAAGGGTTGATTGATATACCATAATGTCCCAAAGAAGAAAGGAAGCTTCCCTAAACCTTCATGATACATGCACAGTATACTCTATTCTTTCTCCATAAGAAACTATTCCCCTAACTTAGAAAATACATTCTTTAAGAGAATGCTATTAGTTTCCAAACTTTCAAACACATATCAAAAAAGAACAGGAAGTGAAATAAGTAAGCCCTTGTTTTGCTTTTCTTACATTAGATCCAGTTTATGTTAGGCAGAGAAATAATATACTAATGTACTATATATACTAATATACTTATATGTGGTACAAATATATATATATATATAGTATATTTATATATACCTATGGTACAAATATACCATATTACCAAAATATATACCAAAGTATTCATGAAATAAAAGTCATACAAAACTGGAGCATAAATTAAGCCATCTTATTTGTTGTGCTGGGATTATTTCCCAGTGTTTTAGTTTACTGTTGCTCATATATTTTAAATTTTTGAAAAAAAATTAATTAAAAAAAGAATATTCTTCTGGCAAGTATGCATGTTGGGAGGTGCTAGCAGGTACATTCATCAGTGAGCTTCTGTCCAAATGGCCAACTGCTCCCTGGGGAAGCCCCAGGAGTGGGCCCATTAAGGGAAGAGTGGCAATCTTTGGCACCAATAATGCATGCTCATTAATTTCACACCATTCACAGTGAAGTAGCCAGAGTTTTCCAGCAAGTTGGCATTAAGCTAATTTCAGCTGAATCACATTCAATATACTTTTCCTTCTAGAATCAGAGATGCATTCTCTAGGTAGGGAAATGAAATAGAAATAATCCCTTGAAAGTGAAGAGTAAAAATTATTTGTAGCAAATAATTATATAATTCAGAATATTAACATTCTTTATACTTTAGCACTAATACATTGACATAAAATGTCAAAAAATAAAGTAATAAAAGCAAAGATATAAAGTTTTCTATAACCCTGGTTATAGAGCACAGCCTCATAGGGTGACTTTCAGGATATAAATAAGGGATAATCAAAATAAATAAGCAAATAAATTTGTAAGAAACTATACATTTTGGTTTGCCTTTTTCATGTTTCCCCATAACAGAGAAAACTGGGTCTCAAAACGTTAGGCTCTGGAAATCATGTGCATCTTCCTACTGCGTGGATGGAAGTAATATATCTCGCTCAGTGCAAAGGAGAAATCCAAGACGGTATGTACTCTTCCTAAGCTCTTCTCAGTTTCCCTGAGTGTTCTCTGGATTAGCAGAAAAGGTATAACTTGTGACCTTTAATATTTAGAAATTGTGCAGGAGCCAAGGAAAATTTGCCTTTCTCTATAGAAATATCTTGTAATGTTTCACTGTGAAAGCTCCTTTTATAATTTTGAATTTATGAATTTGACTGCTCAACTTTTTAATTACAAAATTGTTTTAAACTTTTGTTCAGCACAGTCTTCATTGCTTTTTTCTAAAATTAGTAACTAATTAAAAAGTAATATAAAGTGTCATTGAAGTGATTTTTAATTACAATAGGCACTATATACATTTGGAGAAACTTGTTTTGGCATTTTATAAGTCTTACTCATAAAATGTTAACCAAATGGTCCTTTGTTTTTCACTTAATTCAAACAGCCATTTTACTCATTACCTTTCCATTTATCACTTCTCATTTATATGTCTCCTTCCAAAGCATCATCCAACCACTCTCAAAAAGAAATTAAAAAACATTATTTTTAAGGAGGTAAAATTTCTTCTATCATTATCCTGATTTTTATGTGTATGCGTTTTAAAATGAGATTTAGAATGTTATGAGGTCAGAGAGTATTGCCCCATGTAAATTGAGTTTTATAGGGCTGTCTGGGAGGTTTCAAGTAACAGGAAGAGTAAGAACAATTTTGTATTTGACTTGAGTTTATGGCACTTTTATCACAGTGCTATCCACAGCTTGACCTCTATTAAATGTTAAAATGATATTGAAGTAAACATCCCTGGCTTATCAACAACCAGCATCTACTTGCTTTTTTTGTCCATTAAACCTGTTTTGTTCAGGTGTCTGGTGGTGGTCATGTGGTTCAGAAGGGAACTGAGCCTCCCAGCCTGGGTGCAGCGTGGGGGGGATGGGAGGGGCAATGAGGCTGGTTGATCTAAACTAATCATGGGAATTCCCTCTTGCTTGCAAGTGATTGGATTAGGAGTGGTCACAGGACCTGGTTCTACCCAGAGATGTAAAAATAGATCTATTTGGAGTACTTTTTGTTGAATTGCTTTTGGAAAGAAAGTACCTCTTCCTACCTCTGGGAAGAAAGCACCTCTTCCCTCCCTATACCTTTTGATTCCTCTCTAAATGGCTTGGTAAGAAAAAGATGCCTGGAGCTTGTGTGGTCATCACAGTCACCATGTACATCAGAACTAGAAGATGAAAAAAAAAATGCATACAGAGGGCAGTTAGGTGAGTGCCAGCCCTACGGTCTTTCCACCTATGATCTTGTGAAATAATAAACATACTCACTTTGAAGATATTTCTTTGCATTTCCTGTTACACATAGCCAAAGGCTTTTCGCTTACCAAGATATTGAACTCCAAATAAAACCCCTAAATATGAATTCTTCTTACCAGCTCCCCAACTGAAAACCCTCCACATCTGTGTCTTGCGCCTCTCTCCCCCGCCCCCCTCCCTCTCTCATCTGCTGCTCATTCTATAGTCCTCCCTCCATGCAGCAGTGATCATACTAAAGCTTAAATCATTTCCAGTGTCTTCTGATTACACTTAAAATAAGCCCCGACTATGTCTGACTTGATTCCTGCCTGCCTTCCCTACTTAGTCATTATGCTCAGCCATACTGGTCTGCTTCCTATTCCTTGGATGTGTCAGGGCTTTTCCTTCCTCAAGTCCCTGCATTTGCTGTTCTTTTCAGATATTTCATGACAGCTCTTTTCAAAATCTTTGCAATAACTTGAGGTGTAATTTTCTCTAGGGCCTTAGCTCTATAGTCTTCCTCTTTCATCTCCCCTGGGGCCTAGATCGTCTGTCTTGATTTTCTAGTTTTCCACTCTGCTCTTTATAGCACTTGTCTTTAGTGCTTTATTTTGTCATCCAGTTCTTCCCCTTTGCCCCTTCATTATTTATGTGGTCTGGTGATTTATTTTGTGTTGGCTGGAACATCTGGAGCTCCTTGTGCATTTCTCTCTCTCTTCTATCTCTAGCTCTGTATTCTCTCCAGTTTAGTGACTTCTGAGTAATTAGATTAGATTTAGTAATTAGATTTTAGATTTATTATTTTATTTTTATTTTATTATTTTATTTATTAGATTTATTATTATTAGATTTATTTATTTATTTATTTATTTATTTATTTATTTATTTAGATTTAGTAATTAGATTTTTTACATGGCAGCTAAGTGTCTTCTTACACTAGCCAGAGCTTTCCTACATTAGCCAGAGATGGTGTCTTGAGAAAGAGATCCAAGTGGCAGGTGTATTGACTTTTCTGATCTAGTGTTTTATTGATTAAAACAGTCACAAGACCTACTCAAGTTCAAGGGGGAAGGGGTGTAGACTTCACTTTTTGATGGGAGGAGTGTCAAAGAATTTGTAAATATTTAACCTTTTAAATTTTTAATATTTTAAAACCATAATCTGGTTTTGGTAACAGCAAATAGTTAATTGTAAGGCTTAATTATAGCATGTAGACAAAAGCCTGATCTATAAATTGTGAATTTTCTACCTTTTTAATATTTCAGAAGCTTTAAATATGCTTTATGCTTCCCTGGACTATGCTTCCTTTGATTATGAGCATCTGCCTACCTTATTTTTTGTTGCGGAATCAGTTTTATATAGACTCTGTTGTGATGCATTCCAAAAGACATACTTATATTCAGTTGAAATAAAGCTGACAAAGGTATGTTGTAAAATATTTTTAATGTGTTTTAATTACTACACATACTACTTGTAGTCATATGACCCCTGTTTTAAGATCTAAACAGGACATTTGGTTTTATTATGGAATATTCTCTTGTTTGGTAGTTTATATTAATCTTCTTTAAATGTGGATAATACATTATTACCTAATATCCAAATGGAGATAGTTTGAGAAAATATAACTTCACCATCTAAGAAAATAATATTTAATTGAAATCAAGTTAGTATTTATGTATGCATATGTGTAACTTTTGTCCTATTTTAAGGATTTTTAAATGCCATTTTCCATTTAAAAATGCTGACAATAACCTTAGCTAGTTGCCCAATTTGAGAAGAGTTATTCTCTCAGTATTCTGTGGCATTTAAAGCCATAAGATGGGAAACTATCTTCATGAGGTTCATGTTTTACAAGGTCTTGGATGTCATTTGTTTCTGTTCCCTGTGATGATTATGGTTGCCTGTGGCAAAATTTATTATGAATCAAAAAAAATTAGGTTATGTAGTAGTTTTATTTCAAAGAAAATATAAAGCTAGAAGAAAAATTTAAAAACATAGATATTTTTAGGATATGCATATTTTAATAATTATTTGCAAAAATTATTAAGTATTATTTGCAAAAAGAATTTCTTACTCAATTTCACTATGTAGTGTTAGAAAGTTACCATGGAAATGTCCATAAGTCAACCAGGGCGTTTTTGGAAGATACTATATTTTAGTCCTTAGAAATCAAGCCTGGATCCTCTCTGACATGTTTGGGGGTAAAATATTTCTGGTGGCCAGGCAAGGTTCAGAGAGCACAGAGCATGCAAAGAACTGAGGCTTTGCATAGGAGGATGGGAGTAGAAAGACAAGATGTTACCATGATGACTTTTTCTTCTGTCTTTTCCTCTGTTTCCCAAACTATTCATTATGAAGATATAGAAAAGATTATACAATTATTATAGAGATTTAAAAAGTATCTACATCTCTCTATATATTCTAATGAATAAAGAATGAAAGGAGAAACAAAGCAAAGCTGGCTTTTCTCCCCTTTTCTTTTCGTTTTCTTTAGTGGCCATTTTCCATTCATTGCCTTTTATATTTTTGCTACCAATAAATGCTATACAATACAGTTTTAGCCATTGTACAAATCACTTATAATTTATATATACTACATCATTTATTTATTTATTTTTAAAGATTTATTCGTTTATTTTAGAGAGAGAGAGAGAGAGAGAGAGCACACAAGTGGAGAGGAGGAGCAGAGGAAGAGGGAGAATCTCAATCAGCTTCCCCACTAAACATGGAGCCTGACATGGGTCTTGATCCCACAACCCTGAAATCATGACCTAAGCCAAAACCAAGAGTCAGATGCTTAAAACTGACTGGACCACCCAGGCACCCGATTACTATGTCATTTATTTTTTTTAAAAGATTCCTATATCTTCTTATCTGACAGTTTAAACAATTTGCACATATAACACCTGTGAATACTTACACAGAACTTAACTTGCACAACACCTTGCACAGTGATCAGTGCTTTAGATGTATCAGACATAATTAACTTATTCAATCCTTATAACAAACCTAAAAAGTAGGTGCTATTATTGGCCATTATTTTACAGACCAAGGCATATAAGTGAATTATTCAAGGTTTCTCAGCAGAGAAGATTTTGAAACTGAGTCCAGTGGACTCTCAGCCATAATACTACACATTTATTTTGGCTCTCAGATTCACTACTTTTAAAGTCTACTTCTTATTGTTCTAGAAAATATAAATTAGCTAGGGGAAGTAAGCATGCTCTATAAGTACCTTTGATTTCAGGCAAGAAGCCATTTCAGTTATCCTCCTTGACTTTGTAGAATTTTCATTATGTATCTGATAGTCAGTTGGAAGCTTTGGTTTTGGTCTTTTCTTCAGTATGCTACACTGAAAGGTATTGCCAGGGAAGCATCACCCACCTTCATGGGTGCCATTTTGTTGATAAAGCTCAGCATTAGGAAGAGCCAGATATACTGAATTCCCTACTACTATTTACTTTCACATTTTGTGTGCATTCTTTCCTCATTATTTACCTTAGTGTAGAATCATCTTAAGTATTAAAGTCTACTTACTGAAGTGTAGGGAATAATATATAAGCAACAATAGTTCAATATATTTTAGATAGAAATATAAAGTGTTCTTCAAGCTTCTATAAAAAAACATGGAGCACATAACCAACTATTAAATATAACACATAATAAATATTATTCAGCATTTTTATTTCACAATTAGATAATAGAAACAGAGAAATGAAGAGAATAAGCCATAGAAAGAGAAGGAAAGAAGGGAGAGTAAGAATAAGGGAAGGAAAGGTAGAGTGAAGAGACATCTAAAAGCAGAGATTCTGTCTAGGAGGCACAGCTCAAGCTGTCAAGCTGCAGAAAGAATATGTGCAAAAATGAGACATGAAGAAAGATGCACAGAAGGTCCCAGAATATTTTAGAGATACAGAAAGGCAGATTTTTAAATAAAAATTTAGCTTTTCAGAATATTATAGATGAAAACTGCTTTCCAAGCATGGTTATAACTAAGGATAGCCTCTGGGTCAGGTCAAACAACCAAACTGGGGTAAATACAGTGATCATTCAAACATCTGTTTTTCATATATTTTTCTATTTTGTATGATATTACAAATTTTTGAACATGAATTTTCCTTTCAGTATCTAATTCCTTGCAAATTATTCCCCTTTGGTTAATTTTTCATTCATTGTCTATAACAATGAGTATTTCTTATTTTAATACTCTCACTTAGAATATTGCAGTATTCTTTTAAGTGATCTGACAATTTCCTCTTTCTAACTTCAGTCTCTTAGAGAAGCACAATACTATATCAAAGTGGTCTGTATGAAGAGTTCCCTTGGATATACTTTATAAATGTTTTTTTTAATTTTATTTAAATCTGTAAATGGTGCATATTTATAATTTATGGATATATTTATAAATATTGATGGTGCATTCTTAGAATTTATTTCGCCAACAGAATTTTATGATAAAAGTACTTGGGAAACACTGCTGTAATAGAGAGTTCATGCCTTTTGGTGCAACACAGTCTTGGGTTCAAAGTCCAATCATGCCACTTATTTGTTAAATTATCTTGGTTGAATCAGAGACTTGGTAGAATGATCTTTTATATTTTATTATTATTTTTTATATATGCATCTGACAATAGCCTGCATTTTTGTTAAGAGGATTTGGACTACATGTATCTTGATAGTGATATTGTTTTGTTTTGTTTCCACAATCTTATGATTTAGTAACCTAAGAATTTCTGTTCCATTTATTTCTATGGTTTGTGGGGTTTTGTCCCATTTTCTGTGAAAACTTGCGTATCATAAATTTGCAGATATTCCACTTTCTGTATTCTATGTAAAATAAACTTGCTATACATGGAAATTCACGGAGGTAAGATACGGGTGTTTATTTATTTATTTAGTAGTGTTCATAAAGGAATTGGGATCTTAGTGTAGCCTAGTATACTCAGGAAGAATGTTTCTCAAAACCATCTAAATCAATGTTTTTAAAAATGTTTTGACTGAGACATTTGCATTGCAAACCAAAACATGCATAATACACACTGATTTGTATACTGAAACAAGGAACTGTGCAATGCACTATGAAATTTTCTTTTCTCTTTCATTTTGTTTAAAAATCCACTCTCAATTGATTTCATGACTCACTTAAGGGGCATGACTTGCAATTTGAAAAATACTGTTCTATAGGACACAGAACAGAATAGCATTCAGTATTGGTCATTATATATAATGTAGAGATGATTTATAAAAGTCTCTTGGCTGAACCAGTATTTCAACCTTGATATAAATGTTTTAAAGTTATTTCAAAAGCGCATGAACTCAAGAGAGTTTGAAATTGTTTCATCAAAAGGAAATGTAATAATAAAATGGTTTAGTTTCCTTATAGTTTCTAAACATTTATTGATGCAACACAAATATACTTTTTTCTTTTTCTTTTGACAGATTGGCTATTTGGTCTTCTTACGACTTTTTATATATTTCCTGCATGGTCACCTAGAAAGTTTTAAACAGCATTTACTTAGGCTTCAACCATATTTATACGGTAGACTCTCTTTTATTTTCTGCACTTATAAATGTTTTATGTTATAGTTCGAGAAGCTCAGACTATCACTATAAAGAACATAAGCTGTATTTTATTTTTCATGAAAAGTAAGAGGTACAGTATTGTTGAACACAGTTTCTGGGCCAGACTACATGGGTTTTACTTTTAACTTTCCTACTTACCTAAGTGCATGACCTTGTCTGTGACTCAGTTTCCTCATCTGTAATAGAATCTACCTTTCTAGATTTCAAGAAAGTTAATTTTATATTTTAGTATGGTAACACTAGTGACAGTATAGATGCTGAACTGGAGTAAGGAGAATGTGAAGCAGGGTGTCAGTTAGCTATGACTGTAGTTGGGCAGGAGATGTTAAAGATTATGAACTTTTAAAATGAGAAGGAGATAGAGTAAAATAGTTTTGAAAAATGTTTAAAAGATAAAAGACACTGAATTTGGTGATCAATTGGATCTAGTCTATATATAAGGGGAAACAAAGAATTCAGGAGGAATCTTTAACATAGTGACAAATAGGATCAAGATAATGGTACTTTAAATTGAAAAAATTTTGGAGAAACATTGGACATATTGGATTTTGAAGATCACTCAGTTGGAAATAAAGATTTGGAAGTAGGGAAATAAACGAAGGCTGGGATTCACTTATATCATAGATATTAATGCAGATGATTTGCCAGTCATCCACATTAATATGGCTGAAATAACCTCAGAGTGAAAGATGTTTCAGGGGAGAAATTAGTTCTAGGAAAAGGCTTAGAGAACATAAACATTTAATAGATTATTGGAGTGCCATATATCAGGAAAGGCAAGTAAGAGAGAATAGTGACACAGAAATCAAAAGAGGGGAGGTTCAAGAAGGTCAGCATTATCAAGAGCTATAAAAATATGAAATAGTAGAAGGTCTAAAAGTTGATGGGTTTCTGTAAGCAGAAAGTCATTGTTGATCTTGGGAGCATTCCCAGGGGAGATGGGGAAGCAAAACTCAGACTGGAGGTAAACAAAGGGTAAAGGGAAGGTTTAAGCATACGACAGAGATGGTGAACTATTACAAAGAACTAAGCTATAAAGAGAAGGAGAAATATGCCAATAGTTTGAATGAAAAAACAAAATAAAAAAAGAGTTTCACATCTCCCTTTCCAATTCAGATGACTTTTATTTTTTTTTTCTTGCCTAATTATCCTGGTTAGGACTTGCAGTACTTTGTTGAATAAGGTAGGTGAGAGTGGGCATCCTCGTCTTGTTCCTCATTTTGGAGGAAAAGCTGTCCACTCCTCACCTTTGACCATGATGTTAGCGGTGGACTAGTAGTACACGGCCTTTATTATGCTGAGTTACACTCCCTCTATGCCTGCTTCATTGTGAGTTCTTTTCACCATAAATGGAGGTTGAATTTTGTCACATACGTTTTCTACATTGATTAAGATCATTGTATGAAATGATCATTGTATGAAATTTTTAATTTTCATTTTGGTAATGTGGTGTATCACATTGGCTGATTTGGGGATGTTAAACCCTCCTTTTGTCTCTGGAATAAATCCCACTTAGTCATGGTATATGATCCTTTTAATATGTTGCTGAATTTGGTTTGCTAGTATTTTGTTGAGGATTTTGAATCTAATTCATCAGGGATATTGGCCTATAATTTTCTTTTCTTATGGCATCCTTGTATGATTTTGATAGGGTAGTGCTGGCCTTGTAAAATAAGTTTAAAAGTTCCCTCCTCCTATATTTTGTATGAGTTTGAGAAGGATTGGTACTCTCTTCGAATATTTGGTAGAATTCATCAGTGAGGCTCTGTGGTTCTGGACTTTTGTTTGTTGAGAGGTTTTTCATTACTGATTCAGTCTCCTTACTAATAATCACTCTGTTCATATTTTTTATTTCATCTTGATTCAGTCTTGGTAGGTTGTATATTCCTAGTATTTTGTTCATTTCTTAATTTATTTGAGTCCTCTTTTTTCTGTTGGTGAGTCTAGCTAGACTAGGCTTATCAATTTATCTTTTCAAAAACTTTTTTTTTTTTAGTTTTAAATAAACTTTTTAGTTTAATTGATTGAATTAAAAAAAGATCAGAGGATCCCTGGGTTTCTCAGTGGTTTAACGCCTGCCTTCGGCCCAGGGCGTGATCCTGGAGACCCGGAATCGAGTCCCACATCGGGCTTCCTGCAGGGAGCTTGCTTCTCCCTCTGCCTGTGTCTCTGCCTCTTTCTGTGTCTTTCATGAATAAATAAATAAAATATTAAAAAAAAGGTCAAAGAGGAAAAGATTAGTATGTTGTAGGATAAGAGATAAAAGGACTCAAGATATAAGAAAGGGAATATTTGGTGGAAAAATCATGGAGGAGAGAATAGGCGGTAACAGTGGAAGTGTTTTGGAGACTGACCAATAAATTTCACCACTACTACAAATTCTGACGGGTATGAAGCCCAGACAGGCCTGGAGACTTAGCAGAATAAGAATTTATGTCTATCGTATCACTTGTTTTGATTTCTTCATACATTATAATCCTCTTTTTTTTACTCTTTACTGTGTTCAGCATGAGTCATCAAATAATCAGATGATAGTGGCAAATAAATTTTGAAAAATGATTTGAATAAAACCTCAAGATCTCACATTAGCTTGCTATTGTAGATCTATCCCAAGAAAACCAATAAGCTTGTTTCATATAAGGATAAAATCCCCAGATTTTGCCCCTTCAATCAAATACTGTTAAACACAGCCTTACTTACGCTACATTTCTGTCTTTAGCAACAGAGTGATTTTTACTTGCAATAGCAGGAAGCAATTGCTACCTATCTCTATAGCCATCCAGTAGAAGAGTAGTTACTACTAATTTTTCCAATGTCAGAATATTGAAACTCAGAAATTATCTAAAAGTGTACAAAAAGAACAGAATACAGATAGTTCTGTTAGATATGATACAGTGTTATGTTGAATGACATAATTGTTGCTATACTTAAAATATATTTAAAAAAACAACAGCAATAACATCCTGAAAAGGAATAAAATTGGAGAATGTAGGGTTAAAAATGATGATTTGTTTGTAGGATTGCAGTTTCAAAGTATCCATTTATGAACAGAGTATGTTATAAATTGATTTATTTTCGCCTGAAAGTTTCCAAGCATTGTTGTACAGTAACTATACTTAATTGGGCATTCGATCATTATGCAATTGCTGTTCTGAATTATATAAACTCTTAACTATCTACCTTGTAGTTTTTTATTATGCCACCAGGGGTCACACATAACATTATAAATCTTGAATAGATGGGGACACGGATAGCAGTTTCAGCATCTAAGAACTGAATTTAATTATATTTTAGTAACTAAAAGACAAATGAAACACAATGCAAGATATTAATGAGATGTTAATCATAAATTATTTTTCTTACAATAGCACTTTCTTCCTCTGGAGAGTCATATTACAAGTATCCAAACATCTTTTCAAATGTGCAATTCATTTTGAAAACCATGGAGATTATATGCAAAAGAGGGCTCCTTCCTGGGTCAGTTTTTAGCCCTGTGGAAAACAAGAAACGCTATAAGAATGTAGATTCTGAGATGGTGAGTATATCCTAGTCCATAATGAATCAGGTAATATTACTATGATGAAATAATTGTGCTTGCCAATACATGTAACATCGTTGAAGTTGAGTTTAGGTGGTGGCGGGGGGAGGGCGAGAGGAGTGAACAGCAAAAACACTAAACCATATGTACATTTCCTGGACAGTAGTTAATAGGATTAGGAGTGGAGCATCAATATGTACCACTACTGCTTTAAATAGAGCAACGCCATACTACCTTTTTCCTTATAGATTCCATCTCAGCTATTTAATTAATTGGAAATTGCAACGCAATTTAGATTAACTTACAAATGAGGATTTTAAGATAATTACATTTGTATTAAAAGAAAGTACATAAAGTAGAGGCAATTAATGAGAGCAATTTTAATACTGGAAGCTTCCATAATTCATATATAATAACATTTAAAATGCCATTAAAATCAACTAAAATGTTTTTAAATGATTCAGAATTGAGGAAATAAAATAATCATTAGTATATGAAAAATTTTCTTTTAGTTTCTAACTTGGACATTAGTGATCAACATTAGAGAAAAGTGTCCAGTCATGTAATTCCTTGCTATGTAATAAAATATGTATCATGGGAACAGAGCTACAATGAGCCATAAAACACTGAAACCTTGATTTTTTTTACTTTATTTTTCATTATATATACTTATTATTTCATAGTTTATGGACAGAAAATTTGTTTTTCTAATAATTTCTTAAAAAGGAAAACATAATGGGGTGCCTGTGTGGCTTAGTTGGTTAAGCATCCAACTCTAGGTTTTGGCTCAGGTAACAATTTCAGGGTTGTGGGATCAAGCCCTGTGCTGGGCTCCACACACAGCTTAAAGTCTGCTTGAGATTCTCTATCTCCCTCTCCCAATCTCCCCGATCACGTGTTCTCTCTCTAAAATATATAAACACATAAGCAAATCTTTAGGAAAAAAAGGAAAACATATGTCTAACATAAGGGAAGTTGAAACAAAAAAATTTAAGATTCCTTTTTCAAATAGTTGTATTATGAGTTGCCTCACAGTTTTCCATGCTTCTCTTGGGAAACCAACTAAACCAACTAAAATATAAGTACTTAAGGAAACACATTTAACCACATCTATTTGTGATCATTAAAGGCTTTTGTGTTTTCTCTTTGTCTCATTATTTGGTGAATCACTGACATAAAGTGACATATGCTAAATAATTTGAACCATTCAGTTATAATTACTAACGAGCACCAATCACTTCATGCACAAAAGGATCCTATTTTTAAGTTTAAAGACTACTTTAACAATAAATTTATAATCTAAGATGTTGAACAATGGTAAGGACATTGATCATGAGGAAGAAAGATCTGCTTAGCAACTGACTATATGATTTAGAGGTCTCTTGAACTCTCTACATCCCCATTTGCTTATCTTTAAAAAAGACATCATCACCACCACCACCACCATCATCATCATGATCATCATATTCACCCTAACTAGTCTATAAGATAGTGGTGAAGATTGCAAAAAAAGCATGTACCTTGTAAATCATTAAGTGCTATGAAAATTTAAACAATGATTATTGAACATTATATATAGGAACTCACTTTAACTTAGGCAGTTAAAATATGATTTTCATCTAAGGACATGATTATGCTGACTAAATAATTATGTTTTACTATGTAGTTAATTGTGCTTAATGTAGTGACTTGAGTGTTTTTGCTTAAAAAAATAAGATATTGTGAAATCTTGACAATACGAGTGTTCTGGTTATGAAACAGGCAACCTTCAATGTTGATTCTGCTTATATTTAAGAATCTAAATGTTCGACAAATCAGGAACCAATATCCACTGGAAAAAAAAAAGTATCTTCAACAAGTGGTATTGTGAAAATTAACAATGAAGCTGAACCACTTTCTTACACCATACACAAAAATAAACTCAAAATGGATGAAAGACCTAAATGTGAGACAGGAATCCATCAAAATCCTGGAGGAAAACACAGGCAGCTAACTCTTGGACGTCGGCCACAATAACTTGTTGCTAGACATTTGTCTGTAGGGAAAGGAAACAAAAGCAAAAATGAACTATTGGGACTTTATCAAGATAAAAAACTTTTGCACAGCAAAGGAAACAGTCAACAAAACTAAAAGACAACCTACAGAGTGGGAGAAGATATTTGCAAATGACTTATCAGATGAAGGGCTAGTATCCAAAGTCTAAAGAACTTATCAAACTCAACACCCGAAAAACAAAAACTCAGTCAAGAAATGGGCAGAAGACATGAACAGACATTTCTCCAAAGACATACAAATGGTCAACAGACACGTGAAAAAATGCTCAACGTCACTCAGCATCAGGGAAATGCAAATCAAAGCCACAATGAGATACCATCTCCCACCAGTCAGAATGGCTAAAATGAACAAGTCAAGAAACAACAGATGTTGGAGAGGATGTGGAAGAAGGGGAGCCCTCTTACACTATTGGTGGGAATGTGAACTGGTGCTGCCACTCTGGAAAACAGTATGGCGGTTCCTCAGGAAGTTAAAAAGAGAACTACCTATGACCCAGCAATTGCACTACTAATTGAAGGAGTACGTGCACCCCAATGCCTATAGCAGCAATGTCCACAATAGCCAAACTATGGAAAGAGCCCACATATCCATCAACAGATGAATGGATAAAGAAGATGTGGCATATATAGATAATGAAATATTACTCAGTCATCAAAAAGAATGAAATCTTGCCATTTGTAATGACATGGATGGAACTAGAGAGTATTATGCTAGGAGAAATAAGTCAGTCAGAGAAAGAAAAATACCATATGATCTCACTCATATATGGAATTTAAGAAACAAAACAGATGAACAGATGGGAAGAGAAGACAAAATAAGATGAAAACAGAGAGGGAGACAAACCATATGAAACTCTGAACTATAGGAAACAAACTGAGGGCTCCTGAAGGGGTGGTGGTGAGGGGGGATAGAGCAAAGGGGCAGTGGGCATTAAGGAGGGTACTTGAAGTAATGAACACAGGGTGTTGTATGCAACTGATGAACCTCTGAAACTAATAATACAACATATGCTAATTAAATTAAATTTAAATAAAAAAATTAAAAAAAGAAAGATGCTATCTAAAAAATGTATGTATCTGCTTAGGGGCACCTGGGTGGCTCAGTTGTTTAAGTGTCCGCCTCTTGGTTTCAGCTCAGATCATGATCTTAGAGGCTTGAGACTGGGTTCCAAGTTGGGCTCTGCACTCAGCATGGAGTCTGCTTGTCCCTTTTCCCTCTGCACCTCCCCTCACTCTTGCACTCTCTCAAATAAATGAATTTTTAAAAATTAAAAAAAAAGAATGTTTCTGCCTAGAGTGGAACAAGTCATTAGTCTCTGTGCCTTTTTCTGCAAAGAACAAAGAGCATAATTTCAATGTTTTCTAAGTTCTATTTCAGCTTTATACCTGCAATTCTGTGAAGGTATTAGAACAGATTGTAGCTTATTAGATTTACTGCTTTCCTTTTTCTCCTCTCATTCCCACACAATATAAAGAATTTGAAAGGTAGTGTAGCTTCAGTGCTACTAAAATTTCTGGTTCAGCTAACTAATTTAGTGCTTGATTACATATTTGAGCATTGTTCTCCATTTTCAGCCCAACTTCTTCAGGATAGCGTGGTCTGAGCCAGCCTCTCCAGGTGAGTACTTACCATTCAATACCCATCTCTCTCACCTACTAGGAGAAGACAGGAGGAATCCAAGAGGAAAATGGGAATATAAATAATACATCTGTATTCATCCCCCTCCTTTCTTTGCTATTGACAATGCCATGGTAGGGGATTTGTGGGTTAGTTCCTACAGCCCATCATTCTCCAATAATGCTAAAAGGTCCATGACAGCATTTTTTGGCCACTGCAAAATGTTTTGTTTTTAATGTATTAATCGGCATTAGAGTAAAAGCCTAAGCATTTTGTTTTCCAAGTGCTGCCATAATATTGCTGAAAAAAATAATTCTGGGGGATTTACATATTAGGATACACACAATTTGGGTGTTGGTTCTCTTTAAGAATAGGAAATTTCCTTTCCCTGCCGCTAGAACCCATTTATTCTTCTAATATCCTTTTAAGCTGATCCAGACGAGGTTTCCATTGCCTTTGACAAATGGTGCACTTTAATTAGCTCTGTGGCTTTCAGAGCCAGAACACTGGATTGAGTTTTCCACTCTGTCTGTTGCTCACTAGCAGAGCTGAATTTGCTGAGTACAGTTGTCACCTGATAATAACAACATAGTTTTTTTGGAGATAGTAGATTAAAACTCAAGTGAAATCTAGTAGACCCTTTACTAAATAGCTGCATCTGTCCTAAAGGACAAATAGTTTTCTGAAAACTAGGAAATACACAGAGTTTACATTCAAATGTGGTTAGCAATATCATCCTCTAATGCTTTAAGTACTTGGGAAGCCAAAGGCATTATCCAAATTTGGGACATTTTGCGCTATACTGCAATTGTACATGGTTACTAGGAATTGGCTTAGATTGAGACACAGGTCCTTTAAAATTAAGAGTATTATCTGATGATTCATGTCCTATTATCTAAGTAGCACATTTGTGTTGAGAGCTCCTATCCTGGCAATCTCAACCATCCCCACTATGATGGGGGGATCAAAAGCTATCTCTGAACAGCAAAAATACAGCTCATCCTTCAGAACTCATTTCTGCTATAGAAGAGAGCCCGGTCTGACATTCAGAGCTTGTGCACTCAAATTTGCATAAAATCCAAGCTGATGTGGTTATCTGAAATTTCAGCCAACACTAGATGAACAGCACTTCTGTAGGTGGACTTCTCAAAGTAGGTGTTGTACAAGCTGCAACTGATAGCTTGTTGGAGGATGTAAGCGAGAGGATATGGCCACTGGTTGATCCATGAGCTGGACCTGGACAATCTGAGCCTCCTCCTTGGGATGCACATTCTGCTCACGTTTCCCACAGCTGGAGCCATTTTTAAGGATGCAGCCTTGAGAGAACAATGTGTTCTTGAGACCATCCAGGTGGTATAAGTGACGGAACCCCATTAAGGCCTCCTTATAAATATTAAGCTACAGGTGGGTCCAGAGATTTGCTTGTCTTGCAACCTCCTAACACAAGCTTCCTAAGTAAGTTCCCTGGCTTATTAGACTTATCACCTACCAATCTGGAATGGCCTGTCTCTGTCTTGGCCTCTGTGTGGACAGCAAGACAGGGAGATGAAAGACCTATAAAAAGTGGTCATAAAGCCAAGAAAAAAAGTAAAAAGGGAAGAGAGAAAGGGAAGGAAGGAGGGAGGGAGGAAGGGTGGGAAGGGGGTAAAAAGAAAAGATTATCGGGAGTCATTTAATGCTCCACTCAGTGTTTTTCAATCTGTGTTAGAAGGGCCCTTTCAACTTTTTTTTTTTTTAAGATTTTATTTACTTATTTGAGAGAGAGAGAATGCACAAATAAGGGGAGGGAGAGGGACAAGTAGACTCCTCCCTGAGCATGGAGCCTGACTCTGGGCTTGATCTCATGATGGTGATATCATGACTTGAGCCAAAATCAAGAGATGGAGCTTAAGTGACTGAGCCACTCAATGCCCTCATCCTACATTATTTTATTTTATTTTTTAGATTTTGTTTATTTGACAGAGCCTGCGCACAAGTAGGTGGATTGGCAGGCAGAGGAAGACGGAGAAGCAGGCTCCCCGCTGAACAGAAAGCCTGCCATGGGGCTCATTCCCAGGACCCTGGGATCATGACCCCAGCCAAAGACAGACAATCTACTGAGTCATGCAGGCACCCCGTACACTATTTTAAATATAAAGCTTTTCTATGGAATATTTTAACATTCTAAACATCGGCTTGTTTTCATTTGCCTTTCTGAGTGAGTGTTCCCCACAATCAGTAGCCTTGTGCACAGACTTTATCTTCCTCATGACTTTTATCTCCAGCATCTGAGTTCCCAACATAATCAGTACACATCTGTGGGACTTAACTAAATAGTTTACTAGAAACTTTAAGATTTATGTATGAATTTCTGGCCTTTCAACTTAAGAATACTTACCATGAAAATTATCTTTAAATTGTAGATATGATGTTGTTTATGTAATAAATGAGAATTATAAAGCCTTTTGGAGTCTCTTTAAGTGTTTCTTTTGAGCATAAAAGAATGAAATATCATCTGATATTAAGTACCTATCACAAGAGTGTGTTTGAATCTGTATTGTTGGCAAAAATTCAATGAGAGTGCTATGCTATCAGTATCTAACAATAAAATCAGGTTTCTTTATACCAGTTACTTTACTAGACCAATTAAATCTAAGAAACTGTCAGAAAGCACGCCAAGAAAAAACAGATAACAGCCTATTTTTTCCCTGAGTTTGTAGACTTTTAAAACAGTTACTTAGCACACATTGACCTTGTCCAGCTAGGCATGTATATTTAGCCCTTAAAGTGGAAGTACACATTTTAAAACGCGATTTACTGTGTGATCATTGTTCAAACTTTTCCCTCTACCCTCCTCCTTGGGTGTCAGGAAGAACTAAGTCGTATAGGGTCTAAGAAGCACAATTATTCTAATGATTGTCCTGTAGAGGATAGAGGATTTTATCTTACTGTGGAACTGATGTCATTGAACAGAAGGGACCCATGTGAAAATCAATGAAGACCTTAGGTTCAAGTTAACAAATGAAGGAAAATTTGCTTCCCCGAAATAGGCCTCTTTGGCATAGGGATATTTTAGGCTGGTTATTTTTAAGAAATCACAGACACAGGAGAAGCTGTGAAAACTGAGTAAAAGTTACCCTTTTTGTAAGAGATATTTACATTTTAAGAGAAGTCTGCATTTGTGCGGGTGTCTCCCCCTCTGGACCAGGAAGAGAAGGATGACTCTGAGTCTCTAGAAACTCTTAATCAGTGGAGAAGGGGATGATAAATCTGCATATCAACCTTACCCTTGTTTACTGTAGGCTTTTCCTGTTAACCATCCGTAACTGCCCAAATCCCCTTTTTGTCTTTAGCTAGACATGTTACAGATGATGGTGGCCTGGGCCACTTTTAAAAGTATTCCTGGGTCTCCCCCATGTGTATAGGAGGTATACATGTTATTAATCTTCTCTTTGGTTTTCTCCCGTTAATCTATGTTTTTATTACAGGGGATGCAGAGGTCTCAACCAAGAACCTGGAAGGGTAGATGGAAAATTATCTTTTCCTCCTCCACACTATATATACTTACAAAATATATACTTGAGTAAATTGCTCTGTTTGCTGTAACATGTAGTTTAAGAAAATAATGCATTTTCATTTGAACATTTAAAATTTATTTTCATGTTTATTCAAGTCAAATAACTCTTTCCCAGATATATTCTTATGTTGTTGTTTATTTATTTATTTTTTATTTTTATATTTTAATTCCAGGAACAATTGCAGGTTAATCAGGGAGGATATGAAGTTAACCACCTGCTCTGGCACTGTGTGGCTGCCTGGTCATGTGTTCAGAAGAATAGTCCTCAGTTGAATAAGGTGCTGGAACATCTCATCTTTCATAAAATGCAGCTTCAAAAGAAATGCTGGTAAGAGGGATTCTATAAATCCAAAGTAATTCATAGAGAAATCTTTGTGTTTAAATGTTAAATAACCTTTGTATTTAAATGTTAATCACACCTTAGTTGACTATGAAAATAATTTATAATCTCAGTTCCAAATGCAAGTGCAATTTATATATTTTGTATTAGTTCATTTCATCAATAAATTGTTCCTATCTCATTTTTTTTGCTAGCTTGCATGCATGTATTGCATAATTTATCTTTGGCAAATGAAATTTGTTATTGATAAAAAGTGCATCCCCCCCGTTAAAAATATCATTTATTTTTTTAAGTTGCTAAACAACAACAGTGAGGTACTAGTTTGTTATCCTTGGAGGAAGTATACTGAGAGTCTGTTTCTTTATGCCTTACTTGTAAAGTATAACAAAAATAAATCTTGACTGGTAAGTGTTCATTTCCTCCTGTACACATATTAATTTGAGAAGGAAAAAGAAATCTTAAATTACTATGAAAGAGGACATGGGTTCAATGGAGGAGAGAATAATTTTAAAGGAGTATTTCTGAGGAAAGTGATCAGAGGAGATAGCCCTTTTCAATATTTGGGGACATTCAGAGTTTTCAATTCCTCCTCCAATGCCAATGGTAATAATAATAACAACAACAATAACAGTGATGTGTCATGCTATAGCCAAGTTGCAAATTCAATCCTCATGTAGTTTTCTTAAAACTAGTTCCTGTTTTTAAGCCTCTGGCTGCCCACTCTATACCAAAGGTCTTCATGTATGTAAATTCTAAGAGTCTGGAGAGTTCCTTATAAAGGAAAGTTATTTTTCTACTTTTGTTTGGAAGTTTTTGGAATTCTAGATCAAGTAAAGATTTCTGGAAGGTGGCTTAGAGTTTGCTTAATTTCCTAGAAATAGACTAGTTCAGATGATGTTTCATCAAGAACTTAAATCTGTCTTGTCTTGTGATGAGAGACATCTACTCAATATTGCAGTTAACAAAGATTGTGATTCTTTTATGTTTTAAAACTAAGGATAATATCTTTAAATAAGAAAATTACAATGCAAATAGAATACGATTTTAATAAATAATAATATAGAGCTGATAAATATAACAAAAATTAGGGATCCTCACTGGTACAAAGTAGGTTATTCTGAAAGCCATGGTCGTTCTTTCAGACCACTCGTACCTTAGAAAATAAGTTGTAGGCGATTCACATATACAATTTAGTTTTCAAAAGGGTCTAGAACTATTTTAGCTCTTGGAAGACTCTAACTTGATTTAAAAAATAAGAGAAATTACATTTTAACATAAAAATATGTATTTCACGACCGTCAAGTTTATTTTCAAAGCACTCTAATAATTACCAAATAAACAAGTTTAAGGAACTACCAAGATAGTAAAAGTGGATAAGAATAGCTAATTCCAAAAGTCAAGGAATTGTTTCTTTAACCAACTTTCAGTTTGACTGGACTCCATCAACATTGATTCAATTTGTTAACGATTTGTCTTGTTAAACCAACTAACCACAGGCCCCAGTTGGTTTTCACTTAGACCAAGTTCCCAACCTGGTGCATAATACAGACTCGAATTGCAGTTTCAACCTCCCCCTGAAATTTAGTCTTAAAAAGGTTAGCTAGGAATTTTTCAGTCTGCACCAATGAGCCTGCTACTTGGGCCCTCTCTGTCTCCCTAGATGCAGCCTTGCCTGGAACAATGCTTTTCTTTTGCAAATAACTTTCTTGCCCCAGTGACCCTCCCTCTATCAAAAGCTTCCAACTCCTTGGAGCTCCTCTCTACTTGCTCTGGGTGCTGCTTGATTGATGAATCACTTAATAAATCCATGGGACTACAAACTTAGTTGCTTGACTTTTGCTACTTAACGATCTTTAAGGTAGTTGGTTTTTATACTTCGTGTTTTACATATTCGGGGCCACTGGAGATCATGCATAACTATTCTGACTTTGCAAATGGAGAAACGGGGGCCATGTTTATTATGCTTACTAGTGAGCGGAATGAGATTTTTAGGGTCGCAGTATAGCCTGCTTCAGTATGTCATCCCTCTATCATTCTGGCTGCACGAGTAAGGAGATGACCATTTTGAGGCATCTTGTCACTAAATTCGGACTTCTTCTGTTCTGGGAAGACATGGTGGAAATTAAGTGAGGGAGGGGATAGCAGTATTTGGACAATGCTGAATGAACAGAGGGGTAAGCTGAAAAAATTGTGAAACACAGTGACTGTTAAAATCAAAAGGAAAAGACAATTGTTTTTTAAAAAAACTGCCAAATAATTTTGATTCTGTTTCTTATACTGTTTTCTTTTAAATGATGGCCGTTTTATTTTTAAAAAGTGATGACTCTAGTAAACAAAAATAATCCATTGGCATTAAAAGATTAACGTTCAAGTTAGCAATTTGCCTAACTTCTGCTAGTCAATTTTTCTGTTGTAATGCTAATATTATACCAAATTCTAAAGAACTAAGTTTCTTCTTACAAAGTATTTATTTATGTAATAGCCTATACAGCCATCAAGAAGTCATTATTCCAGATAAAGCAAAACAAACTGTGATGTAATTGTGAAAATCAAACCAGAAATGCTTTCCATTTCTGGGGAAACTTGAATATTGATCTTACATACTCCTAAGATTGGGTACGTGTAAAGAATTAAGAAAATGAACAATGTATTTAGAATGAGATAGAAATATTGGGGCGCAGGCCTTGATCATAAATTGAGACTGCCAGGATTTGCTGGACCTAATAGCCCTGGAGTCGTGACACTTGGAAGATAAATTTAGTGTAGTACTTGAAATTCAATGCCAAAGACCATTAAGAGGAGTAACCTGAACAATTTTGTTTTCTGTGCGTATCAGTAAAGTTACCATGATGATGAATCAATGTTCAGAGATTTAAAATGCAGAGGGGACACCATTCAACTGATGGATCAGAAGATCTTTGATTCATAGTGGCAAAAGTTGTGTGTGCCCAGACGAGTGAGTGGTTTTCATCTGCCCATTTCTGATGTTCTCCATCAGTAAATAATTCATCACATAGGTCCCTGCCTTGCTTTTCATAACTCCCTTTATGAAGATTTTACCGTAGCGAAGGATCCATGAAAGGACCCAGAAGAGGCATCACAGTTAGAGCGACCTCTGCTCACCAGCGGATGGTGCAGAAACCCTGCAGAGGAAATGCACTAAAGACAATAGATTATAAAACAGGGTGAAGAAGTGGGGGGAAAAAAGGGCCTACATGAGCCCCCCCCCACCGCTATCCTGCACCAGCCTTTATCTGGGAAGGTTAGCTGCCCCGAGCTGCAGATCAGCAGCTTGCTGTAAGGCAGATTTCCATTTAATATGGTTAAATTTTCTATGAGGCGACCTCCTCTCAATGCTCCACCCTGTGGTTTGGCCTTTTATAAACTGCCCCATTTGCTCAGGGAAGATCGCTCGAGCCAGTGCAAAAGGCTTTCTAATCTAACAGGAAAATAATGAATTGTGTTTGTAATTGAATTATTAGCCAATGAAGACTGCTGAGAAATGCAGCATGGCATTTCAGGAGAGCCGTATAACATATAAAATTATATCTCCCAAAGCAAAATAGCTGATTTAATGCACCCCATGAATGTATTCCAAAAAAAAAAAGCTTGACAATTTGAAATTATGTAGACGTGCAAGTGGTTTCCGGAGGTATAGTATTTGGGTTTGCATTGAAACGAATCAGGCCAAGCGTCGCCTGCTTTGTGTGGCAGCAGGGCCCTCGGTTGTGCCTCAGTCGCCGATGGCCACGTGGCCGGCCCGGTGGGCGCTGAGCACAGCAACAGGCTCAGTCAGGCCGGCCCCGCCCGGCGTGCAGGTGCAGGTGGCAGCCCGGTCCTCACTCTGCACATCCCTTTACTGCATTTTTAAGCACACCTCTGATCCCCTGGCTAGCCAAGTTGCCCACATTGGCTACCCGGGGGTGAACGTGCGGCCAGGCCTTGGTCCATACGTCAAGGTGCCGCCGCAGGAACCCATTCGACCTCAGGTCACAAGGCCTGGGTTCCAGTACTCTCACCTGCGGCGTGTCTCATTTTGGTTAAGTCTCTCATCCCCTGTGAGCAGATCGGCTGGCAGACAGGCAGAGTCAGCTGCCATTTCGGAGAGCCTTAGGGAGGTGGAGGGGACGAGCTCTGAGGGCCCTTTGCACCCTCGGGGGCTCTCCTAGCACCCCATGTCCTACTGAGTCACAGCTGATTTGTCTTTTCTTCTGCCTACTGACACGTGGCCTCCTCCCCGAGCTGCTGCCCTTCAGGCTGTCCCTCAGCTCTCCACCGGCCCTGTCGCACCCTGGTGTAGGCCTCCGCTGTCCCGGGCGGGACTCCTGGAGCTCTTGAACTGGCCTCCTTGCCCACGTTCTCCCCTCAATGGTCTGTCCTCCTCTGCTCTCAGGGTTACAACCTCGACGTGATTACACCACTCTCCGGCCAAAAAGCATTTTGTATGAACTATTTTGACAGGACATCAGGGCTCCTAAGTTGCCATGATCTGAAAAAAACAAAACAAAACAAAACAAAACAAAAAAAAAACAAGAGGAGCAAAAACATCCTGAAAGGTCCTACCACTGCGATTAATTACCCCCCAGGAACCAAGTGGATGAAGTACCTGTGATGACTGTGGGCGGGGGGGGGGGGGGGGGGTTGTGGTGACCATTGGTGGCCCACCTGAGCCTCCCTGGCTTGTCCCACGTGCAGCCCTGCGGCTCTGAGAATGACGCTGGGCCAGCGGGAGGAGCCCGCCTGCAGACCACCAGGCCCACGAGGCCTTCGTCTCTGAGTGCCAGCACCCGGGCCACGGCAGGCGAGAGGTATTCTGCTCGTCAGTCCCCCTAAATGGTCAACATCAGGAAGCAAGTTCCGCGGGGCCTTGGTCAGGTGCAGTGCGGACCGAGATTCATTCACTTAGCTCAACCTTTCCTTCCGAGACTGTTAATATAACCTGGAGTTTCTGATAAACATAAAGGTCAGATCACTAGGGAACGTGTTCC